CTATCTATCTATCTATCTATCTATCTATCTATTTCAGTCTATTCTTTATCTATCTATCTATCTATCTATCTATCTATCTCCGTCTGTTCCTTATCTTTCTATCCATCTAATTCTATTCATATCTATCTATCTATCTATCTATCTATCTATCTATCTAACATTCTATTCCTTTTCTGTCTATCTATCGGTATTGGAAATGAACGCTTGTAGTAAAAACGCATTGAAAACGACTCGTGTTTGTTTTCGATGGCAACAGATAGTTGACAATTTGAAAAGAAAATATTGAGAAAATAAATCAGACATAATCTACATGATGGCAGGGGAAGATCCGTCCGCTGTCAGATGTGTGTGTAGGACGACGCGGTGGGTTGGGTGCGAACGGAACGCGGTCAGTCTGTCTGTTTGTCCTTCGTTGCAGAAGAACGCCGATCAAAAAGTATGCTTCAAGTAGCAGGTCAGCAGGACATCATTATTAGTAGATTTCATACTGACCCCGTTTTGATTACTGGAGAAAAAGAAAAAGGAGGGAAGAAGAACAAATATCAGAAGAAAATGTGTGATAAAAATCAGCCTATGTATTTCGTACAAAAAATGTGCTGAAAGAAAACAAAGAATAAAAAAGTGGAGGAAAAATGAATACTAAGGAAATGGATGTAAAGAAAAGAAGTAAACGAGAAAGGATGATGAAAAAGAGGAAGAGATGAAAGATAAGACAAAATAAGAACGGTTGAGACGAAAAGGAAAGAAAGAAAAGATAAAAGAAATGGAAAGAAAGAAAGGAAGGAAAAAAAAAAAAAGTTTTGAGAATTGTAGCGGACTGTGTGTTTATACGCGTTGTGCATGAACACGTGTATCTCCTGAAACAGGGCCCACTACAAATATAGCGAGCTCAAGATGAGTCCACCCAAAAGAAATGTAAAAGAAACAACAAAGATATATATATATATATATATATATATATATATATATATATATATATATATAATTATTTATTTTAAAAAAAAAATTACAACATAAATATGTTATAAAATCACTACAAAAATAGCCATTTTGTTTCAACACCCTCGGTGTCTTATCATATACTTGGATATATATATATATATATATATATATATATATATATATATATGTGTGTGTGTGTGTGTGTGTGTGTGTGTGTGTGTGTGTGTGTGTGTGTGTGTGTGTGTGTGTGAAAATATATAGAAAATAGGAAGGAACTGGTTAGGTAAATAATCCAAAGTCCCTTAGTATTTTAGTTATTATTTTTAAAAAATAGTGCTCGATACAAAAGTAGAGCATAAATATAATTATTTATTTAAAAATAGCTTATTTTAACTCAATTTAATTTAAATAATTATATTGAAGTTTTCGGCTCTTGTTTAAAAAAATGAGACTTCTTATGTAGCGTTTTGGAATCATATTTTTAAATAAATAATTATATTATATATATATATATATATATATATATATATATATATATATATATATATATGAAGAAAAGTATACGGAAAAAACAAACAAAACTTTTAATATGCAATTATGCTGTTTTAATGTTAATATAATGTCAACGTCGGACGTTTCGGTCTAGTAGACCATCTTCAGGACATATTAATAAAACATAATTAACATTAGACTATATTTAATTCAACATGAAAAGACGATGGACATAAGAGTAAGACTCATCAAAACAGACAACTGAAATTTTTCAAGATCAGCGTTCCGTTTCAATATGAGGCAGTCATAATATCTATCTCACGCACGGTGAACACTAGACCTGGCTTCTTTAATATTTCCCCTTTTCTAGCAAGATTAATGCTCGACAAACGTACATATAAGTTTTAGATTAAAATAAAATTCTTTTCATTTTTCATTCAAAATACTATATTTTAGGAATACGTTTACACAACATCGCCCACGTGATGCCGACGTGATCATAATATTTAAGAAAAGAAAAGCAGTCTTAGAATTTAGGGCACGAGGAGTTATCATTCAGGACTATTGTCCTTATCTTTGTTGTTCTTATCACAACGTTTCAGCAGTTGTGGCCCCCGACCTTCCTCAGGCGTATATCGATCTGGATAATCTACAAGGAATCCTGAAATGAAACCTTCATTTGATCTACGGCGGTAGACAGTTCTAATTACACTGTTTAAGGATAGTCTCACCAGACATATTCAACTTATACAGTGAAGCAATTCTGAGAAAATTAGAAGTCCTATTCAGCAGACCCAGAAATTACAAGAACTTCTCCAGAAGTTAATAAAGGAAAGAAAGGATTAAACATCAATTGCAAGATGGAATGCATAGTTGTTTGCAAAAGGATTGGCCCAACATGCAAATAACAAGTTGGCGATACCGAAATCAAGCAAGTACAAAAATTTAAATATCTGAAAAGTATTTTTAACTGACGGAAAGTACGATGCAGAAATAAGAAATCACATTGAGATAGAGAACGTTGCCTTCCAAAAGCTAAGCGAAGTATTAAGAAACAGGAAAAATTTCCTTACAAACAAAGAAAATAGTACTGAAATGTAATATTAGTCCTCCTATATAATATTGAATGCTGGACAATCTCCTCATAAATGAAGAAGAAACTTGAAGCAACAGAAATGTGGTTCTGTAGAAGAATGCTGAGATTATTATGGACTGAATATGTGAGCAACGATGACGTTCTAGAGACAATTGAAACAAAAGTTACAAACTGAGGAAATAATGAGGAAAGAGGGCATAGAAAATTTGATACTCACAGGACAGATTGAAGGTAAGAGAGAGAGAAGAAAGCATCGTAAAACGTACTTGTCGAATGAATAGATAAAGGAACAGCGTTGGGTTAGTGATAGGAAAAGAAGAATATTAAGAGAAAAGAATGGAAAACGCACATATACCAAGCCTTCTCCGTATTGGTTGGTTCAAATCATGATTTCAATATTTTGTACTCTTGATTCAATTTATATTCGAGTTAAAACCTCGTCTGATGTTACTTATTTTTCCGATTCAACTTTGTTTATTTAAAAAAGAACTATTATTTGCAGATTTTAATGATATGAACCTCCGAATAATTGGATGAAAAAGCTACAAGAACAGGACAGAACATTTCTGTTAGTTTTTTCGTTAGTTAATTCGTACGTTACGCTTTGTACTATCTTATCTGTCTCTTGTTCAAAGATTTCAGATAATGGTTCATTTCATTTTGATTTCAATGACAGACGGTAGAAAAGGGAAGCTAGACGAAGCAATAATATTCTTGTCTTTAACGTCTGTTTCAGTGAAATTTTAAATCTTGTCAATTTTTAATGTTTTCATTTGTACCTTCCTGCTTCTTTAAATAATGACCTTCGTTAATATTTATGAGTTTTATCGTAATGTTGTTGAGCAGAAATATTTAGCTCTAGGGAGATTTGCACGATTATTTTATAGTCGTGCATTGCCAGTTAATTAATAACATTTTCTATGCATTGAATATTGCTATCACATCTGGTTGAATTTTTGGCGGTATATAAAACTCTATAGGTTTTTTTAATGCCGAAATATATATATTTCGTGTGTAATTATATGCATTCAACTACAGATATTTTGTACACAATTTTCGGGGTAGAATTCTATTTTTTAGATATATAGTTTGTAGATCATAAAATGTATTTTTGATAATTTTACTAAAAAAATGTATTTTCATGTTTTTTTAATGTTGTGTTGATTGTCATTTTGCTATAAAGATCTATATTTTTGCTCATTTTATTACAAAAATCTACTGCTGCTTATTGTTTGGGAGGGGTTCAGTATTTGCCCATAACTGGGACCCTAACAGGTACTACCACCCCAGGTCGGGATACACCTGTGAACAACAGCAATGAACCTTCAATCTCCCGATCAGATGCCTTGATGCCGGCTGTAGTTTCTCTTGGATTTCTTCCTAGACAATAAGACAGGCAATTTTTAGGTCTTATTTGCGAGTTCAAATGTCCCTTAAGGAACTGTGCTCCTGATCAAACCGAATAATTACGTCGTTCACACTACTACATGCCTATCCAGACGCCTTACGTTACACCTATCCGACCACAGCTCCATCAGAAACCATTTAAACACACAAACAAACTTATCAGACTCCATCCGAAATACACTAGTAGGAAATACAAGCATAATAATCTCATCCACATGTAAAAAAGATTAAAAATAATGGAAGCCTGAATAATAAAAAAGAAAAAGCCAACAATCAATAATATTAACTACGAACACGGCCACAATGTGATGACTGTGTTCGGAAAATAAAACATCACTATAACTCTAGAAACATACACACAACGCATACATCCAGTTAAAAAGTAAAAATAAAACCATCCTTGATAATAGCCGAAAGCACTCGGAATTAAAGAACATTTGGACAATTCCTACACACCTTGTGTTCAGAAAAGAAAACACTTGTTCGAATACATGAAAAATTAAATAAAAAGTTTAATCGTAGTACCTTGTCTGTCGTCTTTAATGAAACATGCACACACACACACACACACATATATATATATTTCATTCTATTATTTTGGCCCTTTTTTTTCTTTCTTTTGTTATTGTTTATTGGAAACTTTGTAAATTTCATTTGTTGGCCATTTCTGCCAATTACGCTTACCCATGGTCAATTACTCTACACACTCCGTCTACCAGGGCGGCTAGCCAAATTCTATTACAGACGCCTTCTCAATACTCGGAGCCAACCTGTGGTTTGTACAGCAACTATGTCGTACCAGTTTCTCGGAGAGAGGGCATAATCTAGCGTGATCTATTTCTTGAACTAGGCCAGTATGCTCAAAACCCTTGGTCACGATGACTTGTGAATCCGTACTAGCACAGCAATCAACGGCTTTCGAGCGGTTTTATCTGCCCAAGTTCACTCTCAAGGCTGAGATCAACCAGCAGTATGGTTTTCATGTCGCGCGATAAGATAACTATCCCTGGTCGGTAAGATCATCTCAAATCGGCCTTAGTGTGACTTGAACCAAGATCTTTTTTTAACCACTCGGTCCATAAACGAAGAGTATAGTGTGAATAATCGGATGAGGATGAGGTAACTGCTCCTCCTCGTGTTTGGCCCTGAAGCGATGGACCGCGGGCTTCAAATCGGGCTAATTTATTATTATTTTTATTTACATACCCATTTTTAATGCCATTTTGTTTCACGTGATAAGCGATCATGGCTTTCCCCTGCTTCATTTTCTTTATTATTTCTCTGAATTCCTGTGCATTCTTCGGAAAGATAATGAAGTGGTTTTCTTTTATCTTTTCCGCGGTTCTGAATTCTAAGTTGTCCTTCTCTCAGATTGGTTGCCACCCAAGACTACAGAACTTAGTTTACTCTTCTAGTTAACCTTAAGCTTCAGGGAAAACGGTTTCATGACTTTCTCGAGGGTATAATTGCGAAATAAAGAAGTGAACGCAACAGACCAGGTCGTAATTTGAACACGACTCGTCGATTCTGCTTTTTGTATTGATAACCGTTACGGTACCAACACTTCCTTTATCTACTATTTTCAAAAAAGATTAAAATTAATTAAATTAAATTACATAACATTGATTATAATGTGTTTATATATTTATTATTCATCTATTTTCTTTTATTGTAAATAGTGCGGATAACACATGAGCGAGTATATATATATATACAAACACATTTGCTTAAATAATTTAGAAATATTATGTCGATTAGTTTTTCGTTTGATATATATATATATATATATATATATATATATATATATATATATATATATATATCTCTCTCTCTCTCTCTCTCTATATATATATATATAGAGAGAGAGAGAGAGAGTGAGAGAGAGAAAGAGAAAGTTGCGTGGCCAAAATGTTCATAACGGCATTGTTTTCGTCAGAAAAGTAGGTATAAGTTTTATATTCTATAATTCTCACAGACAATAAAAATGATATTAATTGTTATTGTCTGAGATTTTGGTGTAATTTGAGAGGATAATACAAAAGTTATGGATGATTTAGTGATTTACTGGAAAACCCATGGCGGCCAAAATGGTCAGAACGGTTGAAAAAATAACAAAATAATCAAAAATGACAGAGAATACTGGAATTATTTAATATTTAGTGTGAAGCTCTTTAGCTTCAATCACACTTTGACATCTTCGACTCCATGAGGAAATTAAATTTTCAATTTCTTGCTGGGTGATCTTATTCCATTCTTCCTGAAGGGCAGTCCATAATTGCTCGGTTGTTATATTAAATAATTGTGAGAGAGGCAGATAAATAGATAGAAGTTTCAGTGGATAAAGGCGTTCGCTAGATCCAGTGATTAAACCCAGAGTTGTGAGTTCAATAGCAGGCTATAGCAGTGGTAAACCAATAAAACTTGAAGAGTTGAGTTAAAGAGAAATAACTGAGATATCCGGAAGAGGCATGGCACATAGAACTAGAACAATCTCTCCCGGTGGACGAAATAAAAGGTTCAGTTCGAAATTTCAATCACCTGAAGAAGGCCGGAGCGTACAACGGCCGGAACGTTGTGAATATGACAATGAAGATGAGGATAACAGTCTGAATAATGGAAATAATGTGGTAATAATGCAGATAGATAGATAGATAGATAGATAGATAGATAGATAGATAGATAGATAGATAGGGTTTTGAGATTGAGAAGGTGCCGTACAAATTAAAATAACACGTGTTGAATTGTTTGAAAGAAATAGACAAAAATAGAAAAAAAAGATGATGGACAAAATGAGAAAGAATATTTTATTCTCTTGGGAATTTTTTATACAGAGAGTGTTCAAGCATGGTTCTTGAAAGAGGGAGTAAATTAATGGAATGATCATACAATAATCCCTGTAAAATCAAAGAATGGACCAAGTTGGACTCTGTTGGTGAGTGAAAGAGAGAAAGTCAGGTGTCTTGCTTCGACCATGCGTGTGTCCCGGGAACGCTCAGACTCGCGTCCTCCCTCGTATGCGACGTGGTATAAAATATATTCGGCTCTTGCAATACGCATGCGCCAGTTTTGTTTACACAAGCCGAAAAGCTGAAAAGTGTCAGCTGTTGTCAAGGCTTTCAATGCACGCGCCTCTGGCCAAACCAAGTGTAGCCGCTGCTACGATATATACACATACATAAAACCTTGTCTAGCACAAAAATTTAAAAAAAAAAAGTTGAAATTTCATGAATATATCCACTCTCCCCTAATTAACATTTGAGGCAGTCTACTATCGAAATTCATATTCAACCTTTACAATTAATAGAACAATATCGGTAAAATAGTTTAAATTTCATTCATCGTCTTCCTAGCAGCAACAAATTACATTGAAGTTTAAGTGACAACAAATCTATTCAAGACCTCATCACTCTTAACGCAACAAAATACTAGTCTCACTATTCAATCAGTCCTATTTTTACACTTACTTCTAAAACTCGTAATTTCTTAGCCATAGTTAAAACTTTCTTGGTCTTTGTTAATATTTATTTCTGAAATGCGTTAACCATAAAATGACCATGTATAACACGCAACATTACAGTAAGAAGTTTAATGTTTAATATAAACACATCGCTCAGGTTTTAATATAGAATATTAGTGTAATTGCTTTTACCATGAAAACGCATTAGAAATGAGGAAGAGATGTCAATAAACTGAAATAAAATGCAAGCGTTACTGAAAGAATAGGGTTATTGCCCAGTGAACAAATTGACGTTGAAACAATGTTTCTGTAGACTCCACACAATGAACGACATCATTTCTGGATTTACAGTATATATATATATATATATATATATATATATATATATATATATATATATATATAGCCGAAAACTTCAATATAATTATTTGAATTAAGTTGAATTAAAGTAAGCTTTGTTCCATCTTAAAGCGAAATCTTTTTTGGAAAAAATACTAAAGAACTTTGGATTATTGTTTTTGGGAAAAAAAATACTAAAAACTTTGGATTATTTACCTAACGAGTTCTTTCCTATTTTCTATATATTTTTCACCCACATACACATACACACACACACACACACACACACACACACACACACATATATATATATATATATATGTGATAGGAATTATGAGGATTTGAGATAATTTCTATTAGGCGGATTATCTCAAGTCCTCCTATTTTCTTTCTTTCTCTCTCTCTCTCTCTCTCACCCCACATATATATATATATATATATATATATATATATATATATATATATATATATATATATATATTACCGAGTAAGTAATTCGTTGAGTCTAGAAGAATGCCGAAAGAAACCACGCAGGTACGAAGAGGTAACGAATTAGACTCGATATACCGCCGCTCGATTACATATTCCGTGGTGGAATTCATCTTAGTTTGCCTTACCCATAGGACTGTGCCCCCACGAGCCGCAATAAGCCTCTCCAACTGGAGCATTAAAGCCGATACTAACAAGAATATACAAGTGATGGAAATTCGGAGGATTTGAGATAATTAATATTAATTAATTCATCGAGTCTAGAAGAAACCTCAATAGAATGCAGAAGGCACTGGACGGCCGTTTCGTCCTATATTTGGGACTCATCACCACTGCGCATTCACTACCGAGAATTGAAACCCGGATATGTTATATATATATATATATATATATATATATATATATATATATATATATATATATATATATATATATATATGTGTGTGTGTGTGTGTGTGTGTGTGTGTGTGTGTGTGTGTACTGAGTATCTAGCAATCTGTTTTTTTATAATAGTTATGCATAAATCGACGCATGATGCATCTTCAGAAACAAAACTATCAAGCCAGAAAAGATTAAACAATTCATGTTCAAATTTTACCCGGAAATCAGAGAAATATTTCGAACAGTTGGAAAATTAAGTAAATCTTAAACAAAGAATTTTATTTGGTCTTCAACCAAACTCATATATATATATATATATATATATATATATATATATATATGTAAAACAGTTATAAACCTAAGTCACAGTAGGCTAAGATTTTAACGTGACAGATGGTATAAATAGTTTCAGGCACTAACGTGTGAGTCAGTTGATTTAAGGCCTGTGTTTCTCATATTTATTGTAGCAACAGTCAGCGTTATTAGCACTTATAAAAGTTATAAAGTTCTCTGAATGGGAGGGGCTGTGTTTGCTTAGCGGATAACGTGTGGGTGTGTGTCTGAGTGCAAACCTTGCTCTCAGAAAGGACAGTAAATATTCGTTGCAATATTACAGAGTATGTTGCCTAAAGTGCTGAAAGGAAGCTATATGTGAACAAGTATACTAATTCTTTTTATTCTTCTTTTTAAATAAAGCGAATTGTTTAAGCCGATGCGTTCTCCGGCCTTACTAGCATTGTCTGAAGCCCCATTCTTTTACCATAAAATATTTTGGGGATGTGCATTATTATTCTTATTGGTATTTTATTATTAGAGTTAATTTTTGAAAAACAAAAGCAAAACAAAGCAAAAATAAATAAATAAAAAATATATTATTGATTTTATTTCTGGCTTGCATGATCGTGGAAGATTGGCAAAGAAAAAACACAGAATAAAAACTTATTTATTATTTTATTATAATAAAGATAATAAAATTATAGCAATGTTTAAACTTCAATGTTTAAAACAAGATTATAAAAATATGTGGACCAAGTAAAATGCAATGTATATCTATAATTCTCAAAATGTGTGCGTATATGTATGTATGTATTTGTGTGTGATCGGATGTTTTCATCCAATTTCGATAAATTTTTTTTTTGTTTGATAGATAATTCTTCCGTGCTGGTTTTGAGTCCAAATTGGCTGTGAAAATTTACAAATTTGAAGGTGAAAAATCGAAAAGACTGATTTTTTACTCTTTGCACAAAAGGCAAAATCTAATGTCTGTAAAAAACAGCGTACAATCAATTTAGAGAGTTGAAATCTAATGCAAAAAATTATTAAAATTATAAAAATAATTATATTATAAATAAAAATTATCGAATATTATAATTATGACGATCCATGGAAGAGGTTCCTTCCTTGCAAGATTGAGAATGTAAAAACGGCCCTTTGCAGGTCCATCCCTTCCGCCATTCAAATTGTTAACCCCCCGCCCCATTTGGGGATGTGTCTCAGTTGCATTCAATTGTTACTAATATTGATTTTCATGTGGGTTGACTTTAAACTTAAACTGCTCCAATTGAATGGCAAAAATTCCCAGTAATGAAACACCCGACCGAAGACGTTTATACTGCTAGTATTTATTATTTACGATTTATGAAGTTTTATTATTTATCATTTTATTAAGAAATAAATTTGACAAGAAATCATTTTATTCCTAAATTTATAAAAACATATAATTTTTTCAACGAATTGTATGCTTTGGAATGGTTGGGAAATTATTGGTAAATCCTAATTGATTATAGAAATCGATTTTCAATGGTAAATAATAAAGATTTAATTATAGCTGATTTACATATTTTCATGATTTAGTAAATTTTCATAAAATTATGAAAAAAAAATTGTTTCATATTTCTTTCTTTATAAATTGATAAATGATAAACATTGTATTGTATTAGCTGGTTCGCATTGTTAGAATGATGTAAATATACAGTTATTCTTACAAATAAACAATTTAATCAGTAAATAGTGTTTAATATTTTTGTCCTAAATTCTCAAAGAACAAAGCAAATGTATAAATTCACAGTCACATGTTTGAATTTTATTAAAATTCTTATCGCTTTTTTTTTTTTTTTTTTTTAAAAAAAAAAGAAAAAAACATTACCGAAGGAGTGGATATAATACAAAATAATAGCGGTGTCAAGGAAAAAACCGTCCCTTTCAACGCACCGTTTTACTGCAAATACGAAAGTTAAACATTGGCAAAATTATTATTATTATTATTATTATTATAATTATTATTATAATTATTATTATTATTATTATTATTATTATTAAAGTTGTTGTTCAACATATTTATTGGGAAGAATGCTCAATATTAGAAACAGCACTACTAAATGGAGACAAGATGGAGAAATCGAAGATTCATAGTGAATGTCACGCATCTCAGGGATATTGACCCTATATACATACATACATACATACATTCATACATACATACATACATACATACACGCACACACACATACACACATATATAGATGCATGTGTGTATGTGTGTGTGAGAGAGAGAGAGAAAAAGAGAGAGACAGAGAGGGAGAGAGAGAGATAGGGATAGAGAAAGAGAGAGAATACTTAAAAACTGAGACCGAGATTTTAAACGTTTTATTAGTTTCTTTTAAAGTCGATTTTAAACAATAATTTATATCAGACCTTTTTTTTAGTGGCCGTATACGCGCTCTTAAAATAAACAAGGTAAAACCTATTATAATTTACATTGTATATATATTTATCTGTCTATGAAAGTAATGAGAAATAGTGACAAATTGAAAATAAAATCCATTAATTCCTTAGAAAATTTCTTTATTTACTTTTCGAATACGAAAATAAAGTTAGCACATAGCGAGATATGGGCTATCAAATTTCCAAGAAGAAATTCTCGGTCGTCGAGCAGTCATCACTGCCGAGTGCCTATTTTGTTTATTAAGTTACATGAACGCACAGGTCACTATATGTAATTCACACTTAAAAAGAAAACAAAAAATCAAAACAAAAAAAAAAAAAAACATGGCATGTACTCAAACACAAGTATGCACTAAAATATAATGTTTAAGTAATATATATATATAAAATTTATATTATATTTTATATATCATATATATAATATATATTATATATCATATATATGATATATATTATATATAATATATATAATATATTTATTAGAATCTATGTAATATATATGATATATATATAGCATATTAAATAATATATATATATATATATATAATATTTATTAAGAGATACGCACTTAATATATATAATATATATAAATTATAAATATATAATATATATTTATAATATTAAATATACATATACTTACTATATATATAATAGGTATATATTATATGTTTATATTATATGAATATATATTATATATATATATATGCATCATATATATATATGATATATGGATAGATTATATATATAAATATATATGTATGCATATGGATAGATTATATATATATATATATATATATATATATATATATATATATATATATAGATAGATAGATAGATAGATAAACCTACCCAAGCGGATCGTCAGCGAGATTGATTTGATTACTGGCAAATCAAAAATTGAAGGTTTTTCGAAACGAGTATAGTTACCTATATATATATATATATATATATATATATATATATATGGGGGGGGGAGCAAGCGGAGGACATTTTGGACATTTGTTGTCAGTTGCTGTGTACAACGATGGTCTTTGTAAATATGTTCATATAGACATTTTACCTGGTCTTAGTGTCAGGGACCCGCCTCTAAATTTTGTACAAGTAATTTTTTATTGTATCTTAGATTGTACAATTAACAGCGTATACTGTAAAATTTAATAGCTCAGAAATGGT